CAACAGTGGTACAACAAATCCTTCACTCTTCCAAAGCTGGCTGCTCAATCATCTCTTCAGGACTTGCTGTGGACTCCTTTTCTCTTCAGGGATTAGCTACAGACTAACTCAAGCTGAATCTTGCTCTGCCTAGACCCCTTCAGGGTCCCTCACCCAACAAGCTCCACAGGACCATTTTCAATCCTAAACATCTGGTTAGACCATCAAGTCCCATTCACCTTACTTTTCAATTAGTAAAGTGGGCTTGAATATAGCTCACCTGAATCTAGTTTACAACTGTTTCATCCATTTAGGATCCTAGAACCAAATATAAAAGCAGGGAGACCCTACTTCATGACAGAGAGGGTGAGTACTCCTATTGGTTCTAAGAAGCCAAAGCCATGGCTAGAGCAAGTTTTCCTGGGGCTGAGATGGGAAGATGTCCACAGGTGGTCGTTGAAGTCAGCTGCCTTGTCCCCAACATAACCACCTGGCCCTGGGACTCTGGAGGCTTTGTGCATCAGATTACAAACCCATGAACCAGATATTGAATAAATAATCAAAATCTTAAATATGTTCAAGTACTTAACCCTTTCTTAAAAAAGGAAGTAAGGAGGAATTCTTGGCAAAGAAATTAAACTGTAAAAAAAAAAAAAAAAGAGTGAGCAAGAGAGAACATATTTAGAGCTGTAAGCCAAAATTAGCGAAAATAAAATAGTATTGGATTTGAATGTGTTCAACCACAAATTGAACAAATTGATAAAGGTAGAAGAGTCAGCAAGCTGTAGATCAATCAACGAAAAGTAAAATGTATTTGAAATTTGAAAAACGCAAACACAACTAAAGGGAACTAAACTTTAATGACCTGCAGAACTATACTGAACAACACTATATGTATAATTGGAATTCTAGGAGATGAAAGTGGCAGAAAGAACATTTGATCAAATGCTGACCCACAGATTTAATTATCAAATGTGACAATGAAATCATTAAAAATCAACAGGAAGATAAAGATGAATATCAGATCCAAAATGGAAAAATATTGAAAACAAAAATAGAGTAAGCAAAAATAGAGTAAGCTTTCAAATCAACGGGGGGGGGCGGGTGAGATATATCAGATGGGGGTGAAGTAAAATAATATGAATACAGCTTCATCAGTAATGAAGAGGCAAGAAAGAAATGAAATATAACTTTACAGAACTCCATTGTGATGTGAGAAAATATAAATTCCATGATGGATTTCAATGTGAAAATATGAAGTCCTTTGAAAAGGTCAGGTATCAATAATTTTCCCATATTTATTTACAATCTCTAGAGGTATAAGAAAGTAATTAAAATGTATTCAAGTGGATAAAACACTTAGGGAGAGAACAGAAAGCTATAAATAAATCTGATGCAACTTTGGAAATATAATATTTCCAAGGCATAAATTTAGGTTGATGTTATGAAGGTATAAGGCATTGTACAGCTACAGATAATATAGCGTGAAAAATACAATTTTTACTCATATAAGCTTTTATTTGGATTCATTCAATTACTTAAATATTTAAATAAGATATACACTTATGTCAGTTCTTTAATGAATAGCCAATAAAACTACAATTTCTCTTTCAAGGAGCTAGGTTAGTTTAGGAGGCCCAGCTAACAGTAAATATTCATACAAGTCAGTCAACAATAATAGCACGAGTGAAAAAATCTGAGGGTGGTACAACGAATAGTCTCTGCACCGTCAAACTATACACATATAGTGCCACATGAGTTTGATTTCTAATTGACCTACATCTGGCAGCAAACCTCTTCTGTCTCACCTGCTGCTCTCCTCAGTATTTCAGTACAGCTGCCTGTTCTGCTCCCCACTCTGTCATAGGTGAATGCTCTCAAACACACACACCCTCTTTGGCCTATACACAGATTATTCAATGCAAAAATAAAATTAATTAATTAATTAATTAATCTTAAAAAGAAAGAAAGAAGAAGCCTGAATTAAATACATCGGAGTTAAAACCTGTGTCTAACACTGGACCTTAAAAAATAGTAACTTCTGGGCCCTCCCTGGTGGTGAAATGTGTTATGACGCACTACTGCAAGCAAGCTTCAACGGCTTCAGTGTTATTTTGATCCTGGGCCCCAGAGGTGATCCATATGGCGCAACAGACCTCTCCTGTCTTGCCCACTGCACCCCTAAGCAGTGTACTTCATCAGTCTGCCTGTTCTGCTCCCCACTCCGTCTCTGATGATTCCTCTCATACCTCACCCCTCTGTCCTACAACCCAGCTCTTATATGCATAAATAAATCTAAAAAGAATAGTTACTTCTGTGTATTATGAAGGGAAATTAGATGTTCTAAAGAAGGTTTGGTAGGGTGAAAGGAGGTTGTCAGGGTTTTCCCACCCTCCGCCATTAGTATCTATGATCAACACCTGTGTTCTTTTGCGGGCCTGATGGCAGCATGTAGAATGTGATGCACATGTGTGAGTGGGGTGCCTGAACCAGAGACTAAGTACATAAGGGCGACAAGGGCAATACAGTGGCAGACGATGGTGCTGTAGAGGGCAGTGGAGATCAGCAAAGAGACCACAAATGAATACCAGAGATCCCAGAAAGAGTGAAGTTTCCCCCATGGCTGGATGGCCTGCCAGCCTCCCAGTCCCCCAGGCTCCCTGCCTGCTCTGTACCTGGTTGCCTCACTACAAGTGATATAGAAAATCATTAAAAACCTGAAAAATGACCCCTCCTTGGCAGCCAACAGGTAAGGGTGCCATACTGCAAGCTAGCCGCAGCCACTTCATTCCGAGTTCAAATCCCCCACCAGGGAGGTGATATACATGGTGCAGCAGACCTCTCCTGTCTAGTCTGCTGCTCCCTTCAGCAGTGTACTTCACTGATTGCTTGTTCTGCTCCCCACACTATCTCTAGTGAATCCTTTAACTACACCTGTGTCCATACAGAGACTGTTCCATGTGTGGTTGGCATTTTATTGGCACACTCCTTCACAAGGCTGTAAAATGTAGTTAAACTTACAACTATGGCAGCCATACAATCACTGACCTCCCAAGTATCCATGTTTTGAGGAGTAAATGTCAATTTAACTAGAGGGAAGCATGTTAACTTTATACAGAGTGGAAAATTAACATTTTTTGAGAATATACAAATTGCTTTGTAGAAAAATAGATAGAGTGACACAGAGTACAATTAATTCCCAATTGAGATAATGAAGTTTCTGAGAGTTGAAAACAGAAAAAGCAGAAAGAAAATCATTATCTACTACTATGCTTTTCAATTGTAGAGTATATCAGCATGAACAGATGCATCGATTTGTATTTATCTTTTTTTAAAAGATTTATTTATCTGTGCATACAGAGCTGGGGTAAAGGGCAGAGGCTCAGGGGCAGCGAGAGGCTTCACCAGAGACAGAGTGGGGAGCAGAACAGGCAGATC